CGTTTATTAAAACTAGGATATGAAATAAATAGTAGAGATTATTGGGAAAATTTTATATTTCGTATCAAAAATAATTTAACCAGCCATAAACAAATAGGTAATGACCCTGAATATAGAAATTTTAAAGTTCAATTGGCATTGTATAAAAAGAATCGTGCGTCATTAATTATCCAGCAGAAATATCGTTTATGGAGAAGCCACAAATTAATTCCGCTAAAATAATCCAGCATGAGTAATTAAATGGCTATATCGACCAGGTGGCACATTAATGAAACAAGCCAAAGATCGATATTATTGCATTGCAATAGGACTTTATCCTTTTCCTTATCAAAATGCGAATCATTAGATAGAGATCTTATTTCTGCAATCAATAGTTACGTATATAAGAGAGACTCGTGTGAATATTCTATTTATAAATACGAATTTAAAAGTGTAGAATTAAATATATTGTTATAATAAAGCATCACTATGATAATTTTATCTTGCGAAATTAATAAAGCACCAGCAACCGTTATATTGGATTCTGGCGCTAATTGTAATATTATAGGCGAGGAAGTAGTAAATGGATTAGGCTTAAAAATCGATGATATCTGTGATGCAGAAATATATAATCTCATTAATAAGATCGATGTATTAGGAATAATTCGTGGAATAGAGATTTCGGTCATGTCTCAAGACCCTAAATGGAAACAAATAAAAGTTACCGATATTTTTGTTTCTAATGGACCGTATCTTAAATTTATACTGGTATTAGGTCATTCATGGTTTCAGGAAAACGCGATGAAAGTATATTTCTCCAATAACACTCTTACATTACTTGATGGAACTAATATATCAGTTATTAAAACAAGAACTCCACCACCTACACAACTTAATCAATCCACAAATGATTATTTCGAGGAAATAAAGGTATACGCTACAACATTGAATGTAGATTTAGATAATCAAAATCTTAAGGAGACTTTCTTTAATGGCTTATTACAAGAAAATAAAAAAGAGGTAGTTAGATTCGGGACAGAGAAACCTTTGAATGAAATCGTCAATCACTTGAATAGAATCTTATTTAAACGAATAAATTCGGCTAAAATTATCCAGGATGTAGTAATTAAATACCTTTATAGGCCTGGGGATCCTTTATGAAGCAAGCCAAAGATCGATATTGTCAACGAGTAAAGTTACTTTTAAAATCTGATAACTAAACATGTGAACGAATTATCTATATATTAGTTATTTTTTCGATTGAAGATATACATTACTGAGAATGATGCAACAGCTTAATATTTTTAATATACCCGAGTTACTAGAACGGATCTTACATTTTTTAGAAATTGATCGATCCCTCTATCCCACTTTGTTTGTTAGCCGTCTTTGGTATCACTGCAGTGCCTATTCTATGGTGTCGCGTTGAGTTTTATACAGAAAAAGATTATCAGAAAGGTCCATATGGTCGAAAGATGCCTCGGGTTCTTACTCGGCGATTGATAAACTTTAAAAGAGTTATGTGTGGAAAAATAAAGCCACTCTATTGTTCAAAGATAGTATATCTCAGGTTAGAAGGTTTAAAAATTAAAGATGCATTAATTAGTGTGATTCTACGCTCATGTCCAGATATACGCACCCTCATTCTTGATCGAAGTGTTGGTTTCTCTAACATATCAATTATAGAAATTGCGAGATATTTTCTGAAACTACAGAATCAGAGTCTTAATTCATGTACACTACATGGACAAAAGTATCGCACATCTTAAATTTATTATTATATAAAAATATACATAATAACTTTATTTAAAA